TTTACTGGAGTTGGTAAGTGTTATGTGTGAAAGTCTTGCCTATTAAGTGTGTAAAGTAGAAAAGTGTAGAAAACTTCTCATTACCAAGGTGTCGTCGCTGACCGACCGAATTTTCGTGTTTTCGATAAACACAAGCCGTATTCGACATCTCATTTGCTTTCAAATTCTTCGCAGGTGGTCAAGCAAGAAATTTAATGGGTGATATCATCAAGCTCAACAAAAGAGTTCTGGCACCAAGATGGTACTGGAAAGCTGTCTGCGATCCTGTTGCCAAGCAGTCTGTAGTTTTTTTAGGAGAAAATGCCATCGGTATCGCAGATAATACCAGAGTTGTTGGGTGTAACGGCATAAATCAGACAAGAAACTCAGGAATAGTATACTGCTATAGTTTAGAAGGAGCTCGTAAGAAATACCCAGATTTCAAATGGCCCCCATTTAACCAAAATTGCAAACCATCCGAGAAAGGCACTTTCATGGATAACGAGCTCAGAAATGCTTTTGTGTAATTCCTCAGTGAATATTGAACAAAGCAAATAAAGAGATTTTAATCTATTACAATAGAATTGGTTATTGCTTGAGAATAGAATCACTCCTAATGGAGCCTCGATATGTTTCTTTGAATACAGGAAACTTATTCCCGTGATTTTAACTTTCGTTTTGGGATTCCACGCCGCAAACCCTCCAGATTATTAGATGTCCCAACCTCACATTACTATTGTCCGTGGATATTAGTAGCATGCAAGCCTGGACAAGGTATCCTAGGTAAGGGATTACTCGGCTTAGAACACAAGAAAAACCTTAAAACTGCTATCAGTTATGCCATTTGCGCATCATGATGCATAGTYATTTGCATGGAAGTGTCCGATCCCTTAACATAAAGTGATGATGGAAGCAACCAGCTGTTAAATATACATAAACAACTCAAAGGATCRAAATGCGAAAATCTGTATATGAACCAATTCGTTTGAGCACTGAATTTGCATGTCTTGATAGATACTTTAATGTTCTCAGCTCCAAATCCACAGTCTACCATCGCGGACTATGACCCCTACAGCCAAAAAGGGCTCTACGACAACTATGATATCCAGAAATACTATTTTCAAAAGAATCAAAGGATGAAAATTTTCCGCATGGATACMTTAAACTTCATAACGGCTAAATGCTCGTCCCTGACGTCTGAATCGTATTTTTTTGTGTTTTCGATAAACACAAGTCATATTCGACATCTCATCTGCCTTCAAATTCTTCGCAGGTGGTCAAGCAAGAAGTTTAATGGGTGATATCATCATGCTCAACAAAAGAGTTCTGGCACCAAAATGGTACTGGAAAGCTGTCTGCGATCCTGGTGCCAAGCAGTCTGTAGTTTTTTTAGGAGAAAATGCYATTGGTATCGCAGATAATACGAGAGTTGTTGGGTGTAAAGGCATAAATCAGACAAGAAACTCRGGAATAGTATACTGCTATGGTTTAGAAAGAGCTCGTAAGAAATACCCATATTTAGCTATATTTCAAATTTCCACCATTTAACCAGGATTGCAAACCATCCGAGAAAGGCACTTTCATGGATAACGAACTCAGAAATGCTTTTCCGTAATTCCTCAGTGAATGATTAGCAAAATAAACCGAGCTGTATTCAGTGCCGTTCTGCGATCAATGGTTATTGCATGAGAACACGTTTAGTCTTCGAATWCAGTAATAAAACTTATCCCCATAATTTTAACTTTCATTATTTCTCGCCACCGTCCAGATTAAATGCCCCTCCCCCCCCC